AAAGAAAAGAAAAAAAAAAGGACACTTTATCCCATTACCCTGGTGCCCATGGGGCCCAGGAGTCCACATGTCTCCATTGAAGGGTTTAGGACTAGAAATACCTAGAATCTGGCAGCTCTGTCCCTGGGTTTCTGCAAGTATCTGCTTCTCTGTTTACACAGCACTCTGACAACAGCCCCTACAAGTGTTATTTTATATCTTCTTTGTTCAAGGGATCTGCCAAATTCAGTGTATTAGGATTGTTTTCCTTCTGCAAAGAACAACACTAAAACAACTCAAAGGGCTTAATCTAATTAAAGAATTTAATGGCTCACACAGTGGAAAATTCTAGGTTGGCTGGATCCAGGTGGTCAGAGGTTGCTAATAGAAGCTGCCTCTCCCTCTATCAGGACTGAGAAAGTGCTCTTTTTTTTGTTTAATGTAACTTTAGTGCCTGATACATACAACCCAGGATCCCAATGAATAGGTGAAGTGTGTGTGTGTGTGTAGGTAGGTAGGTAAATCATGTAGACAGAACATAAACATTCTGAGTCCTCTAACCATTTCTCTACTGGCTCAGTTCTCTTGTGATCAGATAACTGGTCTGATTCAAGGTTCTCTCCTTCATCAATAGCCTGGTTTTCTGGGAGTGCCAAAAAGACACAGAAAGGGCTCTCTGGTCAAGCCTTGGTGTAGCCACACTTTCACTTCTAATCCATTTCAGATGGATTTCAGATGGAAGGATGTGGCCAGAGGCCAGGCCTGGGACCTGTCTTAGAACTGGGTCCTAGGATAGCACACTCCAAATATACAGCAGTAACAAGAATTGTATGCTGTGTCCTGTTTGGGGAAAGACTTCTAAGTGAGAACTTAGTTCCTTCCTCATTTTATAATGGTCATCTCATTATTCCTATTTGATAGATGGAAAACTGAGAAATAAATCCTCACAACTAATAGTTTCCAACTTGTAATAGTCTGACCTTATGACAGTGTAAAACTGATGTGCATATAATAGAAACCATACTTTGGAGTTTGGAGCTTTTCCCAGGCTGGTGATATATGCAGCAGGAACCTCCCTTGGGATGCTGACCAGAGCAGCAGGCTGCAGCTTCCAGTCAGCAGCATGATCACAAGGAGGCACAGTCGGCCGGCTGTCTGCAGCAGTCTGTGCTGCTAAGCTGCTCACTGTTAGGTGCAGTGTATTCTATGCATTCTCAACTCACTATTTTTCACTGGCAATGGGTTTATCTGGATATAACCACTTTATACGTAGAGGGACATTGTAAATTGTAGATTGGGAGCAGACTTAGAACCTGGACCCCAGAAGCTGGGATTTTGACCATTAGCAGGAGAGAACTGCTCCAGGAAAACAGGAAATAGATGGTGGACAGGAAGCAAAAGCAGATGCCCACAGCAACTCTGAATCTTTCTCTATAAAGCCTTAGCTTGGGCTTGCAGCTCGGTGCGGAGAAGAGTAAGGAATCAGGTTGTAGCAAGGTGACTGCTGCTCTGTGACCTCAAACGTGGACAAATTCCAGAAAACAGGAAGGACCAAAGACGTGCCCTTCTATGCAGTTCTTCTTGAAGTTGCTACATGATGGCGGTAGGCAGTTTTTGTTTTGTTGATAAAAATAAAAAGGTGTTGCAGGGTAGAGCTGGGGACAGGGCTGGCTCACTTGCCATGGAAGTGTGAGGGCCTGAGTTGGGGTCCCCAGGAGCATTAAAGCCGTGTGTTTATAACCCCAGGGTTCCTACTGTGAGCTAGGAGAACACAGGAGGACTCCCAAAGCTTGCAGGCCAGCTCACCTGGCATAGGCAGCTGTGACAACAATGACATCCTGTCCCAAATGAAGGCTACACCCAAGATTTTCCTTGACTTCCACAGAGGTGCCATGGCATACATGCAGCTGTACATATACATACCCCCTTTCCCTCTCCTCCTCTCTCTCTCTCTCTCTCTCTCTCTCTCTCTCTCTGTCTCTCTCTCTCTCTCTCTCACACACACACACACACACACACACACACACACACACACACACACGGGGTGGGGGGAGCAAGTGAGCAAGAAAGCTAGATTCCTTGCAGCAGGGAACATCCCACTCATCTATATTTGATAATCGTGTCTTTGAACAAGCTGACAGCAGACAGTAACAGAAGAAAAGGCAGTTTTATTATACGCATGGGTGAACCAGAGGAAAGGAAAATGAATACTCCTAAGCCTTATGAGATCTGGAAACTTAGAGAGGCTCCTGGACTACAGAGAGCAACAGGAGCACAGGCCTCCCTGAGGAAGGCGTTGAGAGCAGGCTGTGGGAGGGAGGAGGGAATGTACAGGTGCACCACTCTCTGGTGAGGCACAAAAGCTCCCGAGTAAGGAAAGTTGCTCAGGAGGTCGTCAGAAGGGTGAACTCTGTCTTGTGACGGAAACCATCTGAGCACAACAATGACTGCCTTCTCTGGTTGAGAAGCTTCCCAAGAGAGAGCATACATGACCATTAGTTTCTTTTCCGAATGCTATCCAAAGAGATGAAGGAAACTGGAGAGAAAGCCCCTAGTAACCTCAGTAGAAAATTGCATACCCAGACTTTCCACTTGAGTGTGGCATTCCCTAACTCCTTCACTGTCAGCTAACTGCCTTTGGCCTATTTGTATGTAGTCTATCTTGAGTGTGCAGGAAGGTGGCCAGCCATCACTCTGTGAAGGTGCACAGGGAGGCTACATGTCTGGAAGAAGCACCAGGCTTGTTCCCTATCTGTCTTGTAATATCCCAGGAAAGGAGCCCAGGGCATCTTTCTAGAAGGAAAAAGCACAGTCATATTTAAATATACATTAGAATCGCCCTCAGACAATACAAAAAGTAGACCCTTTTACATATCCTCAACAAGAATGAAAGGAAGGCCAGGTGTGGTGGCTCACACATAGAATCTTATTCAGCAAGCTGAGGCAGGAGGATTGTCATGAATTCAAGACAAGGCCAGGCTATAGAGTGAGAACATGCCTGAAAGAAAGCTGAACATGTGAGAAAGCTGAACAACCAGAACCAAAGCAAGTCAGTAATAGTTACTGAAAGACCTCTCCAGGGGGGACTCAGGAAGGACACGACCTCCAAAAGACACTCTAGAGACCTCTTGTTGTAATAACATGAGTCAGGTTTTCTTTAATATACGAAGCTTCGGGCCAATGTGTCTCATGTAGGAGGCAGGGTTCATCGACCCTGAGATCTAACAGCTCAGGGTTTTTATAGATAAAGGCTGGGGGGAGGGAGAAGGTTGTGGGTAATCACACACAATTGGTTGTTATAAATGTCTATAATATTTGTAAGCAGATCTCAGGCAGAGGTATGACAAATCTCACGAGAATAGTCTCTGGTCTCTGTGGCCTTGGGACCCAATGTGAATGTTTATCTGAGCCAACAGACCATCTGGCTGAATCTAATTTATAAGTCTTTGGGACCTCTGGTGGAAGTTTTTTTTCGAGGAGGCTAAGTCAGACACCACAGGAACAGATTCTTGGAACACTCAATTGACCTTTGTTTTTCTGTTCTGCATCTCTTGTAACAGCCTTGGGTTAGCAAGTTAGCTGACCTGTAATTTTAACTATTTGTATTCTTGTTATATTGTTTAACTGACTTAAAATTCTTCTTTCAGTTACAATGCAGGGAGCTAAGGAGGGGCAAAAGAAATACCGTTAAGTAAATGTAATACTGCAAATGCTCTTGTTGGCAGTGTACGGGAGCGCCTGGGGGGAAGTTTTAAAGTCGTATACATATGTATACAATCCTCTCGTGTGTGTGTGTGTGTGTGTGTGTGTGTGTGTGTGTGTATTGTTTATACATTTTCAGTGGAAAGATGGAGAATAGGGAGACAGAATGGCTAGCCAGATCCCAGGAATCTGGGGAGGTCAACCCATTTAAATTTTTGAACATTTTTCTGGCCTCAAAGCCTACACTTTCATGTGCCTAGTGTAGATCCCCAAAAGAAAGGAGACAGAAAATACACATAAGAAAGGTATTTCTTCTAATAACGCCAGATCAATGGGGTGTGATCTTTTCGCTTATACGTATTTACTGATGAAATCGGATTAACTCTCCTAGTGCAAAAAAGTGAGATTTAATAATGAGAAAACGAAAAGAGGAAGCTGAGAGGCCGAATTAGCACAAAGCCATGGAGCAAGTAAGGAGAAAACTTACTAAAAAGAAAATGGAGAGGAAGAAAAGTCCCAAACATAACTCAGTAACTTGAGATACTTATGGTCTCCAGTCTCCCGCAGCTGGTGCTGGAATGCAGAGGTCAGGCGCGCCCCCTGCCGGCTGGGAGAGGCGAGGGCAGCCGCGGCTCGGCAGGGCCCGGGAAGCAGAGACCCTTGGGTGGCCCAGGTCCGGGGATGGGGTTTTTGCACCCGAGGCTAAAGGGCAGAATTTAGAAAGGTGGCCGCTTCGGCCGGCTGGGTGTCGGCGTGGAGCGACGCGAGAGCCCGAGTCGGCTGCACGTGGTCCGGCTCAAAGCCGGGCCTGGGCGCCGCACGTCCACTCCCCAGCCGCACCGGGGTTAGAGACGCTCGGCAGTGACTTTCCCACTTCATTGCCACCAAACGGACGGTGACTACGCTTAGTACTCTACTTTGCTATGTATCCTCGGGAGCCAACGTCACCGGCTAACTGTCCACTTTAAGGTCGGCACAAGAGCTCACCCGGTGCCAGACGGTGGCGTTTCTCCCTCACAAGGCACCCCACTTCCCTGCGCACTCGCTCTTCCTGGTGCCTCACGACCGTGGGGCCCCACGTAGACAGGAACCGCACAACACGGGTCAGGGAAAAGCAGCGCTACTGGAGGAGAGGACCGGAAACCGCTTCTCCCTTCCCGGAACCAGCTTCCGCCGCCTTCTGCCAATCTAGCCTTTTAAGGCGGGGCTCTGAACAGCGACGGGGCAAGGCTAGCGCGCTTGCGTGGCGCGGGTAACCTCCCGGAACCGTGAGTATCTACTTGGAGGTGCTGCAGGGTAGCTTGTGGTGTGTGTCCTCTCCGGGCCTCCACCCTAGGGTCTCAAAGGAGTCCCTGCGGATTCCTGCTCCCACCCGCGCCGGGCTCCAGAGACTCTTTCGTGGGCGTGAGGAAGGCGCATCTGTGGCTCTGAGGTGGCGTGCGGGACGGGGAATCCTGCAGCCGTGCTTTTTGTCCCGCGCGCGTTGTCCGCCAGTATTGTTGACTCCAGTCCCCAGAGTGACTCCTTCCACTCTGCCATAGGGTCATCTAGGATCAAAAGGCAGGGCGAACCGTTAAGATTTAGTTGAAGTATACATTTGGCTCCTTTGTCCTAGCTGAACGTGGGGATGTAGGTTCAAAAACTAACTAAATAAATAAATAAAATAAAAAATAAAAAAATGTGGGAGCCAGGTCTGGCAGGTCAGGTGTCCAGGGCTGTCACTGTCACTCCGTGTGCCTTTATGTAGCTTCAAACCCAAGTAGTAACAGGAGCCTGGAGGGTGCCTCAGGAGTTGGAGATGTCTAGGTGTTTCCCCCTCAAGAGTTACTAGTTGACATTAATTCAGAGCCAATTTTCACTTCCCATACGACTCGGAGGAAATGCTGTTGAAGAAACTGGATGTACCACAACCTGTTTCTTACTTTGAACTTGTAATAGTGTCAACAGCTTTCTCAAGTTACTTAAGATACAGCACACAACTTACGACTCTGGTGTCACTCAGGATTCTTTTTGCATGACAGGTCTCAGCAGAGTTAGACTCAGAAGAAATGGCCCTGGTACCCTATGAGGAGAGTGCGGCAATAGGGCTCCAGAAATTCCATAAGCCTCTCGCCACCTTCTCCTTTGCAAACCACACCATCCAGATCCGGCAGGACTGGAGGCAACTGGGAGTGGCCGCAGTGGTTTGGGACGCGGTAAGTCAGCCCTGCAGGGCCTTTGAAAACATCCACAGTTGTGAGACTGTATTCTAAAAAGAAAATTGATGGCTTTATTGAGATGTGGTTCATATGTACTCTTCACCAATGTAAAGTCTGCAAAAACATTGGTTTCAACACATTGATGGCAGTACATCCATTACAGTATTTACATTATGACATTATGGCCCCTACATCTCCTTGCCCCCTCACCCAGCCATTCCCTTACAGACACTTAGTTGCCCAGTGAGGACTGGAAGACTGAAAAGAAAGCAGGGGCCTGATTGCACTGGGCGCTCATCAAGTTAGTTTCTTTCTTTCTTTCTTTTTTTTTTTCGAGACAGGGTTTCTCTGTGTAGCCCTGGCTGTCCTGGAACTCACTCTGTAGACCAGGCTGGCCTCGAACTCAGAAATCCGCCTGCCTCTGCCTCCCAAGTGCTGGGATTAAAGGCGTGCGCCACCACCGCCCGGCATCAAGTTAGTTTCTAAAATGCCACACAAAGAATGTGCAGAGACAGAGCCCGAAACTGATGTCATGTTTTCAGTTTTTCATGGTTTGAAAAGATTATTGCCTTTCTGCTTATGAAGAGTCTGTCTTCAGCTGTTAAATAATTAGCATAAAGACTTCAATTCTGCCGGGCGGGTGGTGGTGGCGCACGTCTTTAATCCCAGCACTTGGGAGGCAGAGGCAGGCGGATTTCTGAGTTCGAGGCCAGCCTGGTCTACAGAGTGAGTTCCAGGACAGCCAGGGCTACACAGAGAAACCCTGTCTCGAAAAAAAAAAACAAAAAAACAAACATAAAGACTTCAATTCTACTCCTAGGATATAGCTGTGGGGGGAGGAAAAGGAGTAAAAATTATGGGATTGTAAGCAAATGCTCATTTAGTGTGTGCAATTCCAAAACTTTTGGTGAAAACCTGCCTTCTGATGCACAGAACGTGCCCAGGGACCCCGTGGGACAGTGACTCAGTAGCAAGGCTCGGCAGCTGTGAGCATTGCAGTGCTTCTTCCTAGCATGGCTGAGGAACCAGACAGCACCTTGAAGAAAATCAGAGATTCACATCATTTCTTCCTGAGTAGTTTTGTGGAAATGTGCTGTGACAGACACAGGAGGAAATGAAGCTTTTTACTTGAAGATGGCCCCTAGCTAGCTTGTCGTGTCTATAAGGGGCTTGGGGCATACTGTGCCTATGTTTCCTCTAATCTGCTACCTTGCAGCAGCAACTCTAAGGTCCTGTGGGTTGGGAATTTTACTTTTCAGGGGGAGGGGAGGGAGGAGAGAAGAAAGGAGGGGAGGATATGTTTGTTGACTGTTTCTTCCGCCAGTGCTCGGCATGCTTACAGCCACAGAGCTCTTCAGATACTTGCTGACTGTAGTCGTGCTCACATTGTGTTCTGACTCAGGCCGTCGTTCTTTCCATGTATCTGGAGATGGGTGCTGTGGAAGTCAGGGGCTGCGCTGCTGTGGAGCTGGGTGCTGGCACAGGGCTGGTGGGCATAGTAGCTGCCCTGCTGGGTAAGTGCAATGATCTGGCTCACCCCTTAGTGAGCAGAACTCACCGAGAGGTCCTCTTACTGTTTCCTTAGCAGAAAACACGTGGTTGGGATTCCCCTTACTGAGTTAACTTCTCTCTCCCATGCTTATGATTGTAGACAATAACCCTTGTATACAGTCTCTTTGGTTAAAATGTCTGTAGACTACTAGACTTAATCCCATGAGGTAAGTAGAACAGACAATCATAGTCCTTTATTGTTGAGGAAACGACTGGTTTTTTTCCTCCTAGAGAGGATGGGTCCCTCAAGTGACCCCCACTGACATTTTAAGAAATTATATTAACGATCTATAATTTTTAATTGATACCAGTCTATCAACCTTCATCTGATACAGGCATTGATTTTTTTTTTTTTTCTTGCTGACGGTAGTGTCTTTCAGTGCTGGCCAGGCTGGCCTTGAGCTTGTAGTCCTCTGTTCTCAGAATCCTGAGTAGCTGGGATTACAGCCATGCTGTACTGCTGTGCGTGGCTGCTTTGAAGTTTTAAATTTGTTTTTGTTGTTGTTGTTGCTGTTGTTGTTTTCCCCCACTGTTGACTTCTTTCTACAACGTTTAGGTTGTCCATGATAAGGAGCAGCTAACTTTTAGGACACCATCCCTCATGCCAACCACCCAAGGATTGTCATCTGGGGCTCTTCTTATGGTGTGGTTTCTGATTCAGTGGCTCTGGAGTGGAGCTTTAGACCTTGTTTTGTAAAAAGCTCCCAGGATAATTATGCCAATGTTACAGGTTCTCAGAGCACACTAATGGTGTGTGTGTGTTTGTGCATGCGTGTGCGCCTGGAATTACAGAGCCTTGAATTATTTGTGCTCTACTGTGCTTTAGGCCCAACCTGAGCCCCTCTTGTCCCACTTTTTTTTTTTCTGATTCCTTTTCTGTTTCAGAGCCATGTTGTGTATTGCTTTGCTCAGTCTCAATTAAAGAGCGAGTGTTGGCAGGGATGGTGGACATAAGCATCTTAGAGGCCAGAGAGATGGTTCAATGGTTAGGAACCCTGGCTACTCTTCCAGAGGACCTGGGTTTGAGCCCATCACCCACATGGCTGCTCAGAAAAGCCTGTAACTTCAGTGCCAGGGGATCCAACATCCTCTTCTGGCCGTGTGGAAACTGTGTAAGTGCTACACAGACACATATCCAGGCAAAACACCTATCCACATGAAACTGAAGGTTAATTTTTTAAAGTACACATTGATTTATTCTTCTGTCTGTCTAGAAACAAAATAAGCCATTGGGGAGACTCTTGTTGTCTGTGTATCATTTTTATCTTCCAATGGTCCTTATAAACATTATCATGGATGTCATACATTATTTTTAATTTTGTTTTTCAATTGAAACCAGCATTTTGAGATATTAAGCCACATTTAGTGTTCTTATCAGCAGAGATCCAGGGCTCAAAAGAAATGTCAGCTCAAACTGAGGTTGTTGGTATGCTAACTCCCTCCCACCTTGCCCCCTGTTTTCTACTGTAAACATAGGCTTCTTGCAAAATTTTGTTGGCTGGTATAGAGACATGTTAGTGCATAAATTTATAGTTGTAGTTATAATTAATTTTGACACCTTGTTTATTCCATCTGTTTGAGCTTGGGCACAGTGTTAATCTCTAAACACTGACTTCTCCATCTGTAAAATGGGGGTAGTGATAGTATTTGCTCCTCAGTGAGGCTCAAGATGGGCTAGTTTCCATCTATATGTAATTAGCTAGGTTAGCTCCTTAGCTGACAAAGATGTGCTCTGTGTGTATGTGAGTGTCTATGTATATATATATGTATGTGTGCTGTGTGCATGTATTTATGAATGAGTAACGTGTGTGTATGCATGGTGTGTATGTATGTGTGAGTGTATGTATTATGCATGGTGTGTATGTATATATGCGTGGTGTGTATATGTGTACATGTGTGAGTGTGTGTACGTATGTGTATGTATACATGATGTGTGTATGTGGTGTTTATGAGTGTGTATATGTATGTAGTGTGTGTATATGTGTATGCGTTTGTGTTTATGTGTTTGTGTGGTGTAGATGAAAAGATCCTTATATTCTGTATATATTAATACTAGAAATTAATATGGTGGCAATTATTCCTTAACCACCTTTTCCCAAATAATCATGTAGAGACCTTTTGATATTTCAGTGCCTTAGGTCTTAGCTGGGCAGACTCTCAGTTAGCTCATCTAAGATAACTGGTCCACCTAGCCCCATCCAACAACATGGCACGATAGACCTTCCAGGCCCGTAGTCACATCCATCTTACCTCATGTATCCTGGCAGAAAAGGCTTTCCTCCTTTTCAGAGTTCCTTTCCCACTCCCAGGAAGTCCTACCTTCAACTTCCTGTCCAGCTAATTGTCCATCAGACGCTTTAGATAGGTAAGGAAGGACAGACACAATTTCACACAGTATTAGATAGGAGAGATTTTGATGTTAAGAATTGAGAGTAAGAAAGTTTTAAAAATAGAAACAGAACTAAAACATAGAGTGATTTTGAAACATTGGAAAGGGGTTGATTGTTCCCTTTTTAAAGTTTGTGTTTTGGTAGTCTTAGTCACTTGTCCCTGACTGCAGGGGTTACTTAGAAAGTGCCTGCTAGGTCAGTGTAGGTAGCACACAGTAAACAGATAGGCAGACTGGCATCCTAGGAAGCTTACTTATGTTCTAAGTCTCGAGTGAAGGACAAGGTAAAGGCAGGTACATAAAAAGGTTAAAAGAAGTGAATGATGCTCTGAAGAATGTCAGTATTGGGTGTGAGGCTTTCAAGGTGAAGGAGCAGTTCCTGTGTGGGGAGTGGGCTGTGTATTCAGGGTCATCAGAGTAGACCTGTGTCCTAAGTAAGTTTGATCATGAGTTCTCAAGTGTTGACAAAGGGTTAGTAAGTCACCTCCCCAAGATTGCAAAGCTATGAATCATGCTGAGACTTTGAATATAGTTCTGACTTTCAAACTCTGAGCTTTAGTTTAAAAATCCCTGAATCTTTATGCTAATTGAGAACTATTTCTAGATGGGGGAAAAAATCCCATTTTGAAGATAGGATTTGGTAGGTTGGGTCAGAGAATCTGCATTTAAAAAATCTGTAATTCTATGCCCAGTTAAATCTGGAGACCTATCTTAAAATACAATGCTTAGGAAGATGCCCTCTGTTGACTAGCTGCTATTCTATTACAGCTCTCTGGTGAGCCTTAGACCTGTGCTTCTGAAAATGAGCATCGCCCCCTGGCTCTTTCCTAATACTTCAAGCAGCACAAGACAAACGAACGTCTCTTCCCTTTCCTCCTTGGTTCTGAGTTAGTGTCACTGTCTAAGTAGTCATCCAGGAATTGAGGGATAGGCTATGTGTTTAGTCTCATTCTTATTACAGCCTTCTGTGACAAGTAGACCTGATCTCTCTCCTCACTAGTCTCTTCATGTGGTGTAATGAAGGGGACCACAGAGTTAATGGATTGTGGTTAGATTCAGCCCTCCTGGCCTCTGTGGAGTCTGTTGTAACTTACCTCTCTAATGCTGACTTGACCCTTCACCGTCTGTCCCATGCATGACCATAGCCACCTCCCACCTGGTCCTTCTGCTTTCTCAGACTCACTTCCTGGAGTAGCTGTCAGATAGTTAGCTAAAATGTACAGTTAACTGATGTTGTGATCTGTGTTTAAACACACCTTTCTGTTGCTTCAGACTCCACCCAGGCGTGTTGGTAAGGCTTTGTAATCTCATGTGCCGCTCATCAGCTTCTTCCATGTTTTGTGGAGTTCCCAGGACCACACTGTTGATGGCTGATGCCTTTTACCTAGAATGGCCTTTTCCTTTCCCAGCTCATGTGGCCTCACCTTACATTAAGTTCAGGTTCTCCTTCCTTTGGGCTCTCCCTCTTTTGAGGAATTCTGAACACTTGTTTTCTGGTGCACAGCATGTTCCTGCTGCTCTGCCTCCCACTGCACCCCAGTTATTCTTAGCTTTCTCTCACTTAGGAAACTGCACTCCAGGTAAGGCTTTTGTACTCAGCTTTGTATCTCTAGCACGTGGTATATGTCTGAATGTTTTAATCAAAAGTAAAGCAGTACTTATAAAACAAGCTAAAAGTGATGACAAAGTTTTACACATTGTTTTTCCATTCCTGAGTGACAGCCCATTGTATTTGTACTAGGTCTATTTTCATTGTCATTTATGGACTAAATTAGCTTGCTTTTCTACTAGCAGTACTTAACCTTACAGGAGAACATTTTATCACTGCCTTCTTGTTTGGTCCAACATCATGCCCTTCTTTACCTTATTCATGAGGCTGTAACCAACCTAGGTAAAATGCAGGTTCTCCTACCAGGGCCTGTGCTGGGTCAGCTCTGTGGCTGGAGGGAGCACTGTGCTGGGTCTCCCCTGGCTGGTGGTGGTCACTTAGGTATTTGTAAATTGGTAGTTGTTAGACTAATGTTTAGTTGACATTACAGTCCCATGTCAGCTCTGGAATACCTTGTAAGATGATAGTACCTAGTTGGTAGGGATTTACTGGCTTTCCTTGTCAGGATAGGCATTAGAGAAGTTATCAGAGTAAGTGCTGAGGTGAAGCTTAAATGAGCAGAGTAGATTGCTCTGTGTCCTGCTAAGAACTACACAGATATAAGGACACAGTCAAACCGGGAAGGCTGCCTGCAGTTTTCATTAAATTCTGCTTATTGGGCAACACTGTCTGTGACTCATTGGAGTGGGATGGGCTCAGGCTCCAAGACTGGGACAGTGTGAGCGTTTTTGTTGGCAGCACCATCTGGACTGTAACCTCAGATGTAATTGCATACCACCTTAGTGTTTTATCAAGATAAGAAACACCTGGTGTGAGCTGCCACTGGAAAGGAGTTGGGATCCTTTGGGAGATTAGGAAAGAATGTACAAAGGAAAGATACTATTATGAAGGAATAAAACAGTTTTAAGTTTCAGACTTTCTGATGTCAAAACTAGATCTGACTCCACTTTGTAATGGTTGGATGTGGTTCAGTCTTCTTTTACCCACAGTGGTTTAAGAAAATAGATATTACAGTTCATTGTCCAATAACCCATGAAGACAGATGAATAAAATACTGTACCATTAACTCCCTCATCTGCATATAGACTAGCATTTGGAGAACATGAATGAGCCTTCTAAGATGTTAGCTGGTACACACTAAGTCTGTACACTAATTCAGAGGACAAGTTCTCATAAGTTATGATTGTATCACACAAATAGCTTAGCTGCTTCAGAACAGCATGGTGGTGGCCTGGAAATTCTTAGTAGGTGAGTTGTCTCTTGTGAGTCTGTTTTAACCTTAGTTCCTCTAAAGCAGACTTTTTTGGTTTGTTTTTGTATCTTTTCATCTTGATAGCCATATTTTGCTGCTTGATTTTCCATTCTTGGATTGTGTTTTACCCTGAGCCTTAATGATTTGAGGGTTATAACCCAATGAATCAAATTGAATGAAGATGACTCATGAAGGTTGGAAAATTCAGGAGAATTGGCTTGTGTTACTCTGTGACTCTACAATATACTAGAACCACTTTGGCAAACAGTAGTAGGTGTGCCACAGAAGCAAGCCGAACGTTTATTTTTATATCCACAGCATAAAAAGAGGTCTGGTCTGGTTACCTGCCTGTGGAAGGGTGTAGTGTTCTGTGTAATAGTGGGATATGTAGAGAGTGCCCTGTGTTAACTAGACAAGACTCCCCGTCTACTGTGGTTGTACGATGTTCACCTTACTTTCTGTTTGTCTACATTGTAGGTGCTCATGTGACTATCACGGATCGAAAAGTAGCATTAGAATTTCTTAAGTCAAATGTTGAAGCCAACTTACCTCCCCATATCCAACCTAAGGTGGTTGTTAAGGAGCTGACTTGGGGACAAAATTTGGAAAGTTTTTCACCTGGAGAATTTGATCTCATACTTGGAGCGGATGTCATATACTTAGAAGATACCTTCACAGACCTTCTTCAAACACTGGGACATCTCTGTAGCAGTAACTCTGTGATTCTTTTAGCTTGCCGAATCCGCTATGAACGGGATAATAACTTCTTAACAATGCTGGAGAGGCAGTTTACTGTGAGTAAGGTTCACTACGATCCTGAGAAGGACGTACACATTTACAAAGCCCAGAAGAGAATCCAGAGGGACGACTTGTAGTGGGCAGGGCTTTCTAAGAATTGAATGTGCCAGTTAAGGTCTTACAGCTAGAACTCTTTTTTTTTTTTTTAAGATTTATTTATTTTTTATTTATATGAGTACACTGCAGCTATCTTCAGACACATACTAGAAGAGAACATCAGATCCCATTACAGATAGTTGTGAGCCACCATGTGGTTGCTGGGAATTGAACTCAGGACCTCTGGAAGAGCAGTTGGTGGTGCTCTTAACCACTGAGCCGTCGTCTCTCCAGCCCGAAATAATCTTTTTTTTTTTTTTTTTTTTTTTTTTTGGTTTTTCGAGACAGGGTTTCTCTGTGTAGCCCTGGCTCTCCTGGAACTCACTTTGTAGACCAGGCTGGCCTCAAACTCAGAAATCCACCTGCCTCTGCCTCCCAAGTGCTGGGATTAAAGGTGTTTGCCACCACTACAGCTAGAACTCTTAACAGTGTTAATAACATGGCCAACTGCAAGTCATTCTGCTCAGAGCTGCTCAAGGGACAAACCACGTATGTACTTTGTAGACAGTGCCTTGCCTCGTTGCCCGTAACTGTCTGTCAGACTGGACATGCGAGGTCTGGCTGCAGTTCTTTCCTTACCCTGTGTGTGTGTGCACTTGGTGAGCAGTTCCTACTGATAGAAAGTGGTGTAACAGTGTCCTTAAACTGGAGAGTCTGTCACACATTCTGGGATGTATTTTGTTTCAGTTTCTTTGTCTGCTGAATGTAAACAGGTATTCTCTGAAATGTTTGTACTGGTGGAGTGCTCTCTTGCTCTTTTTTTGTGTTGGATAAGGCCTTACTCTGCAGCCCTGGGTCTGTCTGAAACTAGGCCGGGCTGACCTCAAGCTTGCAGTAATTCTCTTCCCTCTGCCACTGAGTGCTGGGATTACTGGCGTGTGCCATGCACCTGGCTGACCATTCAGTTCTTAGAGCACCTTGAGATGAAGATGAGTTTTCTGGGTCTTATACTTTTTTTTTTTTAACTAGATTTCAGGAGTAAGTATATAAGCAAATAAATAAAAATAAAATTGTACATTTTAAATTACCTGTTATTGTATCTATTTCTTAGGTTTTTTTTTTTTTTTTTTTTTTTGCCTTTTAGTTTGTTAGTTTTGTAACGTTAAATCTCATTTCTTCACAAAGGTTAGCTCCCAAGGTGCAAACTCTGCATCGTACCTATAATCACTCACTGGTGGGTTGCAAGCTGCTCGGAGGTCTCTTTCATTTTGCTTCCCCAGGGTCCAGTCAAAAGTGTATAACCAAGTAATCAAGGTGAATTCCAATTATAGGTAATCGATGTTTTGTAGTGCTAGAGATCAAAACTTAGGTTTTGCAGACACTGGGCAAACACTAGCCCTGAGATTACATCCCCAGCCAGAGGTTCCAATTTTTTAATTTTCTCTGGGTAGACTTTATGAATAAAGTTATCAATATAAGCTTCTCCTTTTACATTAAAGTTTAACTAAAAGCTCTAGCAGTTTAGAGCATAGATATTATAGCCGCACAGTGGCATTTAGTAATAGAAATTTGTTGAATAGACGGTTCAAAGTAAGACCTCATTTTTCTTATTAAACATTTTGGATATGAGAGTACCTGTCAATGTTGTCTTTCATACCTATTTAAAATGGTAATTGTATTATTGGTCATGGTCGTCTCTAGGCAAACAGAAAATTGTGTGTGTGTGTGTGTGTGTGTGTGTGTGTGTGTGTGTATTAGGGTACAGAAAGTTTAAGTGGGAATGCTCCCAAGATGACAGCCCAAGAGGGAGAGTGAGAACAGCAGGCCTGGTGTGGAGATTTTGGGTGGCAACTGGAAAAGTACTCTAATTCTTTAGAGCTGAGATTCTCTGATTGGCCTTTTACATCTATGTGTTCTGGTCATTGGCTGTTAAGGGCACAACTGTCAGGAAATATATTCCTTTACATAGAAATCAGAACTGTAATTGACCCAGTTACAATGAACTAAATATTAGATTTTTAAAAATTGGTGTTTTAATTAGGTATGCCTATGTGCAGATATGTGTATATAGTGCAAACAGAAGCTAGACGTGTTCCCTTTGCAGCTAGAATTACAGGTTGTGAGCTGCCTGGGGGCTGGAAATTGAATTTAGTCCTCTGAAAGAGAAGCAAATGCTCCTTACCACTGCAACCACATCTCTAGGGCCTGAATGCTAGATTCTTTTGAGGGTAGAATCCTAACTGTTACTACTATTTCACAGTCTAGCCCAGGCTGACCAGGAACAACTCCTACCACTACCTCCACAGCGATGGGGTTACAGATGTATGCCATCACTCCCAGCTTGCCTGCAATCTTGTCTTAGCAGATCCATTGTACACTGGAAACAGCACAGCACTGAGGTTTAGGTGTCATAAAAGGCAGCTCAGTAACATCAGTGCATTAAAAAAAAGTCCATTATGATTATCTAAATGTATCGTGTTAGGTCTGCTTTTCTGTCCTAATTCAATTCATGTCTCAAGAAGTACATTCTCAGGCTGTTAAAATAACAAAGCATACTCTCAATAATGAAGTTACTTTAATGTGTATAAGATTTACCAAACAATAATCAATGCCATTTCACTAGTATACTTTGCCCTTTGAGACCTGGTCTCACTATGTAGTCCAGCATAATCTAAAACTGTCCTCCTGTCTCAGTCTCTTGCACTTTGCTATATGTCCTCAGATAATTGTTACTCTTTATTGGAAACATTTTCTACTAGTTCTTTAACAGAACCTTAAAGTTCTTAAAACAAAACAAATCGAACAAAAAACAAACCAACACAGTATTGGTAAGTTGTCCTGGAACCTAGCACCTGACTCGAGTTAGTAGAAGGTAGGAGTTTCTGTGTTGTAACCTTCCTGCTCCACATAACTGTCCCATGGAAAAGTACCATTCATGTTCTTTACAGAACAAGGGGTGTCATTTTAGTGAGAGGCTGCATTAGCAAGCTAAAGGAGTGTTCTCACACTCATACAAGCGGAATAATTTAGGCAGTCTTCAGTTGTGCCTCAATATTTGAAGACTTGTTAACTCAAAAGTCTTAATGCTGTACAATCGTAAATACTTCTTGGCATAGCCAGGAAAGGGTTAAATTAAAAAATCCTGACAGTCTCAGAAAAAGAAAAGAAAAGAAAAGAAAAGAAAGAAACCAACCAACCAACCCCAACAATAAACATTGTCTATATGGGATGCTAATTATGGGGGCAGAAGGGAAAACTAACAGGCTACAAAAGTCTATACATATCATAGCCTTGTATAAAACTGGTTCTGCTATTCTAGTTTTTCTTCCAAAAGCAACAAAGAGACATAAAAGAAATTAAGGAATGCAGCTTGGTGTTAGATTACTTGCTTAGCATACTAGATAGAACCCAGGGTTCAAATCCGGCATAGAGATGGAGGATGTGGTAGAACACTGGACTAGTATGAACAGGGACTAGGTTTGATTCCAGTGTTACAGAAACATGTCTAATGAAAAAAGCTAGATACAAAGTCATACACACATTATGACTCAACTTATTTGAAAATGCTAAATTCACAGAAAACAGATTGTGGGTTGCCAGAGGCAGGAGGAAAAAGGGGGAAGATAACTAGTAGGTGTAGGATTTTATCCAGATGATGGAAATGTTTGTGAACTGCATAGGAATGGTGGTTGCCCAACTTTATGATTTTGTTATATCAATTAAAAAGCAATAATAATACTCATCCCTGGAAATGAGCTTGCCTTTCACTCAATGTTAGTCCTAATCTGGAGAATGCTTAAAATGTGAAGAAATTTCAGTATCAGGCAAGGTGGCAAGGATGAACAGTGGCTTTCCTGGGCTTGACAGTCAACTTAATCGAAAGTGGCACCACTTGGGACAAGGAAAATGCCTGAAGGGACAGATTTGGAGGAGAAATTTGTTCTGTTTGGGACCTGTGCTTCCCTGTAAATGTAACAAATACATGAAAGTCTAGAATTCACTGTAGAGGAAAGGGATACCAACTATACATACAAAGTTATATTCTTGGAGGAATGTTTTAGATTTTGAGAAGTACTTTTCTTCTGTTACTCTAGTTCCTAGGTCCTCAAATGAATGTCAAGTGGCAGCCACACAAAGATAGGCATTATGCTCTTTCCAGAGGTTCAGTAGCTTAAGAATATGATCACAGGACTGAACTGCTTGGCACAACTCTGGTTTACACCTCTGGTCCTCATAAAATTGACACCATCCTTTCAAGTCATATATGTCTCACTATGTAGCTCTGGCTGTCCTGGAACTCACTATGTAGACCAGGCTGGCCTCTTGTCTCCCAAATCCTGGAATTAAAGGTATGTGCCACCATGCCAGCTCCCATTCTTTCACTTTTAAAATATGTCTCAGTAATTCAGGTAAGTGTGGTTGCTCAGCAGAAAGGAGAAAACAAGAGATCCACATGACCTGAGCTTCAAGACCACATTTGACAATCAATCAGGAGACAGTATACAGTTTAGGAATAAGTTCCTAAATTCCAGAACTTCAGATTATAGGGATCTTATTGTTAGTTCTTTGACAATAATAGCTACATCCACTCCAGGATTTCCTTGTTCATACTCTTCCCACCTTCCCCACAGGCTCTCCACCAGATAGCCCAACTTAGCTTCTGGTTTTGCCTCCTGTGTTCCTGAGTCTGGGATTACAAGGGCATGTTATTGTACCCACCTTCCTTTTGGATTTTATACAATCACATAATTCAGAATAAAGGTGACCCGAGTTGTTACTGTTCTTTCAGGGCATGTACACACTTAACTGTAAGCTGCTGGGCACGTCTCTATTAGTTACTCAACAGGAAAACTGTACTTGGGAGTTTTAGGTCACTGCTTTACTGAAACACAACCTTACTGAAAAAAGTGCTAAAAATAATTCAGTAAAATTGAGTATTTAGATGTGTTGTGTGAATCACAGTTTTCTGTTGCTAAGCATTACAAGCTTGTGATTATTCAATGCAGTCTTTGCTCATTTAACAAAATAAACTCAAGTCCAAGAAAATGAGGGTAAACAGCTTTGTGTGTGTGTGTGTGTGGGGGGGTCCCAGGCCCAAAAAAAGAGACTCTACAGAGTTTTAAAAAGCATGTTTATGTGACTGCACATAAATGTCTGTGTAAAAAGGGCATTATGACAGTTGATACCACAAAGATTACAGTAAGAAAAGCACTTTATGACAATATTTCACAAATTCACAAGGATCACTTTAATATACAAAGTAACTGCTACCATTCTGAACACAAAGCAGCCAGTATGTACATAGTGTTAATAAAATGCATGGTGTCTTGGTACTTTTATTCTTTACACATAAAGCACAAGAAGACTTAGGTAAAAAATTTAAACAGGGATGTTTCTAGACTGTAGGGAAGGTTACTAGAAATGTATTTCCCTTCTCATAGCTATTAGTACTCTACTCCAATAGGAACATCAGAGTTAAAGCTGATACCCTGTTTTGTGCTGACAGTTCTGGGGAGGTATTCTCTACTCCAGTACTCAAGGAAAAACCAAAAAGCCAAATACCATTCTTGGACTTCCCTGGTTATTTTGTTTTTCAAGAGTTTCAAGTGACATGTCTAGGTTGGAAATGATCCCTTCTACTGGGGCACTATAACCGATGTGTACAGATCAGTAGAGACAGCTTTACACAGGAAACTGCTAACTAGCACACTTCTTCACCGTCCTAATAAATCTACACACACAGAAAAATGTTGACAAATTTCCCACTTTTAATATAAATAATTTTATTACATACACATTGAAGTGGCACCTGGGTAAAAATACGTCTATAAAGCACTTACCAATTCAATTTTAAAAAACATAAGAAAATAAAACTTCCCAAATATAATAAATCATTTCATGTGGCCAACATAGATTATGATCTGCAGTGATCTTTCTTCCCTACTGATTTTTTTCAATATCTCAGACTTACTCTTATCTCTGGAGATGTCCCTTAGACAGAAGTTTAGAAATGCTATACTTCTATGGGCAGTAGTAAATCATGCCTGGGGAAGTCGGAGTCTCTTGTTTGGCCCTTCTCAGATACTTCCTATAGATTACTCATCTTCCTTTACTTGCTGGTAACAATTTAACATTTACCCAGCTGGGACCCACCCCACTGCAGCAGTGGACAGGCCCACCGCGGATCACCAGCTGGGACCCGCCCCACTGCAGCAGTGGACAGGCCCACCACAGATCACCAGCTCTGCCTGCTCTCTACTGCCAACTCGCTTCCCAAACTTTGCTCTCTCTCTCTCTCTCTCTTTTTTTTTTTAATTTTTCTTTTTTTAAAAAATAAATTTCAAGCTAAAACACCTGAAATATAATTCCTCCATTCAAATGTTATCTGGTCCTTGTTAAAGTTTGTCAGCCCCTGAGGACACATACAAAGGCTTAAAACTACATTCACTAATCAGTAAGCATACCATGAGCAGATGAGTCAGCCGGAACTTCAGCACCCTGTTTGATTTGTTTGAAATTCTTCCATACTGACTCAACTTCATGATACCTTCAACCCCTCAAGGATTATATGCCTCTCTTGGCCATTGATTCTAGAAAGTCAAGGAAACCAGTTCCTAGTACATAACAGTGACTGTTAACTTAAAAAGTCAACATTATTAACATTGAAAGTAATCAAGACACACACAAGCCACCCCAAACTCTAGTTGTGCTTTGTACATCTCAGTGAACAAGTTTATTCTAGAATGATTCGCCTACAGGCCTAACAAAGCATACTTTACTCCCCTCAGTCAGAAACCAGTCAAGTTTAGGCAGCATTTCTCATAAGTTAACAAAGCCAAATTAAAATGATTTAGTAACAATGATTACATGGTCTCCCATGATGACAATAAATTAATTGCTTTAACAAGGTTTGTAATCTTCTGAAATTTTTTGGCATACTCTACATAGAACTAATGTTGAAGTGAGGATGAAATTTAAAATTATAAGTACTTATTTTTCCTTCATTAGTCAAATCTAATTCCCAGATATTTAGCTTTTATAACATGCTTAAGGCTAGCTATGATATTGTAATCAGTGAAAAGCTTCCATTAAGGAGTCATGATTTGAAGAGGAGGAAGACAAAAGGGTCAGCTGAGAACTCACTGATGAGGAATTTCCCAAGTTGCTGATACCCAAACTGGGTCATTAAAAAAAAGTGCAAGTTACACTGAACATTTACAAAGAATTAATGTAAATACAACCCCAAGTAAATATACAACCTTTGTATTGGGCCCCGAAGAATGATATACCAATAGTTTTCAGTGTTACAAAGGCAAAACAAAAGCCTCTGGAAGGAACTGAAAATGAAGCAGCTATTGGTAGAGAAACCAATTTGTGTTACTAGCTGACTGGGGTTGACAGAGGATTAAAGCCTCCTAAACAGGAAAGACTATAACATAGAGATCGAAGTCACTTCAAGAAGGAAAAACATTCCAGGTTATATAAATGTTTGTTTCTAAGCCCCAATATTTGTATGATTCCATGTCACTCTAAAAGGTTGAAAACAGTAGGAGGAGTCCTGAGAGACAGACCAACTTCAGCCAAGAGGACTTCTGATTGGACAGCCTAACTGACTGGTTTTGTGCTTTAGACACTAGCACTGCTTGCTGACTTACCATCATAACACATCTTGACAAAAATCTCTGTTCAAATGAAACACCAGAAGTCTTTGTCCAAAATGATTCTTGAAACAAGTCTCTTAAAAGCTATTTTCAAAATGTTCTTACCAATTTTATAGCTGCCAGAAACAAAGCAGGGGAAAAAAAAAGCTTTGGGGTTTAGGAGTTTTCAAGTGACTGGTAACACACTCAAAAGGATCAAGCCAAACAACAACAACCAAAAAAAAAAAAACTAATAAAAAACTGGAAGAAAAGAGAAAACCCAGTTGTGAGTGCTGAAGTAATACAGTCACTGAAACACCAGAAGAGATGCAGGAGAATGTACAGGAGAGTGGGATCTCATCTGACCTCAATACACTGTAACACTCAGCATTCCTGACATAACAGCTCTCAGAGCATTTAGATGATATACTGTATGTATATATGTACACATATATTACAAAATGCCACTTCCCCACCCACTCTGTAACATCTAAACAAGCACAGCACCTAGGACAATATGATGGTTGCTAATATGGTACTTGCTTTTGATAAAGAACTTAAATTGTATCTCATATCAATTTTTTAAATATGAACATATTGGATCTAGCCCTTTCTAAACCATTTTTCAGTTAAACACTATCAAAGCTTGAAAACTCAGTAATATCAAAAATAAACCCCTCCCCATTTCATTTTTATTAGAGTTAATCTGTCCTATAGATAAAAGTGCCACTATATATGCAAAGTGAGCAATACCAAACTTGCTATTTTCTAGGCAAATCAGTAGCATATGTACAGATTCCTATGACATTTTCATTCCCTTTTGGCCAATATGAAGAGAAAAACATTACCGGTAATGTGGCCACATACAATCTTGGATATAAGAGTTTTTAAAAAATTATGTCATCTTCTTAATAAAGATTTTCCACGTAGCTCAAAAGCAAGTTTGTTTGTTTTTTTCTAATTCTCAATTTTTTTTTTAAAAAAAATCCAGCTTGCATTAAAGAGGCTTGATTTCTTTCTGTATGAACTGAAATTTCAAATTCAGATTTCACAACACCATATATTTCTCACATTATTAAGTAACTGGTGTCAAACCCAGTCATGTTCCAAGCATAAAGGCCCAGGCCTCTGTAAATTAATATCCATCCAAGTATTAAGTATGACTGAGACTGCCTTGGTCTCTAAAGGGTTAAGAAGACCACCAATTTCCTCATTATGTAGAAAGCCTCAACTTTTGAAGACAGACACTTACAAATTACAACTTATACATACTAGGCAAATTTTCCACTTGTGACATTTAAAATGCTCAATCTGACATTCTGACTTAATATGAAGTCATTCCAGTTTGTTGACAGATTTATGATTCTGCTTCATTTTTGTTTCACCAAGTTTAGCAAATGATACATCTACATGCTGGTACAGACAGTTTTTATGCTATCTCTTTCCCAGTAAGCTCAGCAGGACAAACATCAAACTTTAGTCGTTTGAAAGCCTTCTGGAGAATCTGGTGAACTGTCCAGACATAAGGATTATTACATCACTCAACTCTTAGAATGATGTTCCTTCACAAACTGGTCATCCTTGAAAAAAGACAATGGTTTGTTACAAACAACATACAACATTTACAGATAGCAACCTAAAGTCTTATTTTAAAAATGGGCCAAACATCTTACGCTCATATATATACTGACATTAACTTTCTTAATATCCCAAAGCAAATATAAAACACCCTTCTGAGTCTGAGTCCTTCCTCAAACATGAAGTAATCTAACATGCCAGCCTCCACTCCCCTCATATTTGTCTTTTAAAGAAGTAACTCTTAAGATTTTTATCAGGCTTAATGAAAAACAAAAAGAATTATTACTAAGTCTTATCAGAAACAGTGTTACACATAAATGCAGACTATGAGTAAAGATTTAAGCAGGGAGCATTCTTAGAAACAGAACAGCATTGGGATAGTTAAAGTAGTACCACCGTTTTTGGGAGAAAAAAAAGTGTTTTGCCAAATATTGTACCATAGCACACTACAATGCCTGAAGAAAATTACTTTTTTTGTGTGCAGTTTACACATTTTAGAAGCACATCCTTGTAACTTCTTTGACTTAAAAAAATTCCAAGAGATTTTCTGATAAAAATACGTGAATATAGAAAAGTTTGTCAATTTAGTACTTTCTGAGGGCAATCACTTTGCTTGGACATCTTGAAAATGTTCCTGTTGGTCGCACAGCATAAATGCAACAGTGAGTTAGAAATAATTTTTCAGGTAAATGAGTGACAGTATAAGGATTTTGAGAGCAAGGATGAAAGTTTTTATTTATTAAAAACCTTATTATATAACTCAAGGAGTTGGCTCCCGGGCCAGCACCTGTTCATTAAGATTTAGTACTAACCAAAATAAGCTTTATATATACTATGATTTTAACTTAACTCAAAATTCAATACTATGCTTTCCATTCAGTTGGTTACTTCTTTTAATGTATTCAAATTGCTGAACACATAGAACTGAAGTAAGAAGCAACAACTGCCCTAGAGAAGAGCTGTAGCTAATACCAAATGCTTCTCAGAACCAAGGACAACGTGTTGTCAGTACTGAAGAAAAGAACATACATAGAAACTTTACTCCTCAGCATCACACTAAGATCCTTATATAAGGATGTCTTTAATAGTTTTACATAATTCACAATGAAAGTGTAAAATCATCAGTTTGGCAATCAACACTTCTTCATTGCACCTTACTTACTTTCCTTATGAGTCCCACACATTACTTCAGCTCAGGAGACTGGGTAATTAATTGTCCCTAAGGCAATCATGGAGCTCAGCACAAACCTTGAAATCATTAAAAAGAAAAGAAAACAAACAAAACAAACCTAAAACAAAAATAAGAAAGACAAGATTTCATTTTTCTTGTTTCCCCCAACAATTTACAAATAAGCAAATGATTACTTCTTGAGGGTGGTGGAGACGAGGGCAGAAGTCTCTTCATGATTCCTGGCGCTGCACATTTCTTGAGGGCAGAAGTGGAAGTAGTTGTTGGAACATTCACAGTTTAATGCAAAAGCAGAAATGAATGAAATTCTGTAGTTGCTTTCAGGCAGTTTTGCGCATAGAAAAAAAAGAAATGTTTAGAAAATAAATGTTTATTTGTCTTTCTGGTTGTGGCCAATCCAGTCCATTCTCCACCATAACAGGTGAAAATTTAAATCCCAAATTAATCTGATTTGTGGCAGTAAAGGTCCTTAAGTGCTTTTAGCTCCTCAATCAATGTTTTGTTTTGGTTCTCAAGCACTGCCACTCTGTTCTCTAAACATTTGACATATTCTTTCTTCTTTCTACGACATTCTCGTGCTGCTTCCCTAAAAATGAAAACCACAAAACATTTAGATTCATAAACTCTATTCCACTAATTTTAGAACAGAATGTTTTCTAGGGAAACAACTAAAATAAGCAAATGTTCAGTATTATACACACAATAAATGCTCAATACATGATGTTGAAGTTGTCTGATGATGTGGCTCGTTGGTAATGCCCCCTGTTGCGAAGCTGATCAACCTGAGTCCAACCCCCGAATCCCACATGGTTGAAGGTGAGAACCTACTTCTTTTTCTTTACTTACCTGCTCCCATACATGTACACATGCACTATGTAAAAAACATATTCATTCAATAACCTAAATATGGACTAGATTCATATGCCTAGCACCCTGATAAACACCAACAACCCTGAGGCCTCTGTTCCCCCTCCTGCCCCCATCTCCTCACCTCTCCCTGCATTCCTTCAAGTCTAGTCCCCCAGTCTTATCCCCAACTCTGTAGAAGACTACTTCTTGTGACTTCTCAATCTGGCCTCATTCCCAGGGGTCTAAGCAGATCCTGGTGGACACCCTGCTTTGTTCCTCCCTGTGCATCCCACTTCCAGGACTATCCTAGATCAACTATGTGTCAGACCCCAGAAGAGTTTCCTACTAGGCAACATAGAACAACCAACTCTTCTAAGAACCAAAGGGCAACAGAAACCAAGGAATAAATCATGCCCACAACAAGCACAAGATCAGATATCAACACCTAGAATTACGTTCTTCTCAAACCAGATGCCTAGATGTCAGCATAGAAATAGTAACAGCCAGGACAATGTATCCGATAGGGCCCAGTAAACCTACCAGAGCAGGCCTTGAGTACTGTAACATAGCTGAAACACAAAAAAAAAAGATTTTAAAATAGCCTTTATCAATATGATAGAGGCCCTTAAAGAAGAAATGAACGGATTCCTTAAAGTCACCCATGAAGTCACAAACAAGCAGTAGAATGGAAGGGATAAAACAGCTCAAAGCCTAAAAGTGGAAACAGAATCAATAAAGGAAACCCAAACTGAGGAAAATCTACAAATAAAAACTTTAAAACTTGAACAGGAACCACAGAGGCAAGCCACACCAACAGAATACAAAGATGATGAGAGAATCTCGGGTTTTAAAGACAGGATAGGAGAAATTGATCAGTTAAAGAAAATGTTAAATCTAAAAATTCCTGGCAAAAGATATCCTAGAAATACGAGACACCACCAAATCTAAAAATAACAGGAGGACAGGAAGCATAAGAAACCCAGATCAGCAGTTTCTATCTGGGCCTTGGAGCTGACCCTGTGCCAAAACTATCAGCACCCCAATCCCGCCTGGAGAAAGCTGGTCTCCCTGGAGGGCTGACAAACCTAAGATCACAAGTAAGACAACTATTACGGCCTCAATACCATATCCAAGTGGGACCCGCCTGGAGCCCACAGGACCCAGGAATGGTGGAGCAGCTGGGAACATGATCCTTCCGGTTTTCATCTGCACATGGAGCTGACCCTGTGGCACAGCTATTCATACCCCAATCTGAGAGAGCATTTCTCCAGGAGTGCTGACACACCTAAGACCACAGGCTCACAGGTGGGACAAGCTCCAGTTAAGAGACAGCAAGACCAACTAACACCAGAGATAACCTGATGGAGGCAAATGCAAGAACATGAGTAACAGAAGCCAAGGCTATTTGGCATCCTCAGAACCCAGTTCTCCTACCACAGCAAGCCCTGGATACCCCAACATACCTGAAAACCAAGACTCTGATTTAAAGTCACATTTCATGATGATGATAGAGGACTTTAAGGAGGTCATAAATAACTCCCTTAAAGAAATACAGGAGGACACAGGTAAACAGGTAGAAGCCCTTAAAGAGGAAACACATAAATCCCTTAAAGAAATACGGGAAAACACAACCAAACAGGTGAAGGCATTGAACAAAACCATTCAAGACCTAAAAATGGAAATAGGAACAATAAAGAAATCACAAAGGGAGACAACCCTGGAGGTAAAAAATCTAGAAAAGAGATCAGGAGTCATAGATGCAAGCATCACCAACAGAATACAAGAGATAGAAGAGAGAATCTCAGGCATAGAAGATACCATAGAAAACACTGACTCAACAGTCAAAGAAAATGCAAATGCAAAAAGCTCCTAACCCAAAACACCTGGAAATCCAGGACATAGTGAGAAGATCAAACCTAAGGATAATAGGCATAGAAGACAGCAAAGATTTCCAACTCAAGGGCCAGTAAACATCTTCAACAAAATTATAGAGGAAAACTTAGCTAACCTAAAGAAAGAGATGACCATAAACATATAAGAAGCTTATAGAGCCCCAAATAGATTGAACCAGAAAAGAAATTCCTCCTGTCACATAATAATCAAAACACCAAATACACAGAACAAGGAAAGAATATTAAAGCAGTAAGAGAAAAAGGTCAAGTAAAATATAAAGGCAGACCTATCAGAATTACAACAGACTCTAAAAGCCAGAAGATCCTGGGCAGATATCATACAGACCCTGAGAGAACACAAATGCCAGCCCAGACTACTATAACTAGCAAAACACTCAATTACCATAGATGGTGAAACCAAGAAATTCCATGACAAACAAATTTAACCATTATGTTTCCACAATCCAGCCCTATAAAGGATGATAGATGGAAAACTCCAACACAAGGAAGGAAACTACACCCAAGAAAAAGAAAGTAATCTTCTTTCAACAAACCCAAAAGAAGATAGCCACACAAACATAATTGCAAACAACAAAAAACACAAAGCAATAATCACCGGTCCCTAGTATCTCTTAACATCAATGGACTCAATTCCCCAATAAAAAAACAGACTAACAGACTGGATACATAAACAGGACCGATTTTGCTGCATACAGGAAATGTACCTCAGTGACAAAGACACAGACACTACTTAGAGTACAAGGATGGAAAAAATTTTTCCAAACAAATGGTCCCAAGAAAAAAGCTGGAGTAGCCATTTTAATATCGAATAAAATAGACTTTCAACCAAAAGTTATCAAAAAAGATAAGGAAGGATACTTCATACTCATCAAAGGAAAAATCTACCAAGATGAACTCTCAATTCTAAATATCTATGCCCCAAATGCAAGGGCACCCACATTCATAAAAGAAATTTTGCTAAACCTCAAAGCACACATTGCACCTCACAAAATGATAGTGGAAGACTTCAACACCCCACTCTCATTAATGGACGGATCATGGAAACAGAACCTAACCAGAGATACAGTAATACTAACAGAAGTGATGAACCAAATGGATTTAACAGATATCTATAGAACATTTCATCCTAAAGCAAAAGAATATACCTTTTTCTCAGCACCTCATGGTACCTTCTCCAAAATAGACCATATAATTGGTTACAAAACAGGCCTCTACAGATACAAGAAGATTGAAATTATCCCATGTATCCTATCAGATCACCATGGACTAAGGCTGGTCTTCAATAGCAACAACAGAAAGCCCACATACACGTGAAAGGTGATTAACACCCTACTCAATGATAATTTGATCAGAGAAGAAATAAAGAAAAAAGGAAGAAATAAAATAAAGATTTTCTAGAATTTAATGAAAATGAAGGCACAACATACCCAAACTTATGGTACAGACACAATGAAAGCAGTGCTAAGAGGAAAACTCATAGCTCTATGTGCCTCCATAAAGAAACTGGGGAAAGCATACACTAGTAGCTTAACAGGACATCTGAAAGCTCTAGAACAAAAAGAAGCAAATGCACCCAAGAGGAGTAGCCGGCAGAAAATAATCAAACTCAGGGCTGAAATCAACCAAGTAGGAACAAAGAGAACTATACAAAGTATTAACAAAACCAGGAACAGGTTTTTTGAGAAAATCAACAAGATAGATAAACCCTTAGACTAACTAGAGGGCACAGAGGCAGTATCCAAATTAATAAAATCAGAACTGAAAAGGGAGACATAACAACAGAAACTGAAGAAATTCAAAAAATCATCAGATCCTACTACAAAGGCCTATACTCAACAAAACTGGAAAACCTGGATGAAATGGACAACTTCCTAGACAGATACCAGGTACCAAAGTTAAATCAGGATCAGATAAACTATCTAAAGTTCCATACGCCGTAAGGACATAGAAGCAGTTATTAAAAGTCTCCTAACCAAAAAAAGCCCAGGACCAGATGGCTTTAGTACAGAATTCTATCAGACCTTCAAAGAAGATCTAATACCCATACTCTTCAAACTATTCCACAAAATACAAACAGAAGGAACACTACCTAATTTGTTCTATGAATCCACAGTTACACTGATACCAAAATCACACGAAAATCAAACAAAGAGAACTTCAGACCAATTTCCCTTATAAATATTGATGCAAAAATACTCAATAAAATTTTTGCAAACTGAATCCAAAAACACATCAAAAATGATAATTCACCATGATCAAGTAGGCTTCATCCCAGGAATGCAAGGGATAGTTTAATATACAGAAATCCATCACTGTAATCCACTATATAAATAAACTCAAAGGAAAAAAATCACATGATCATCTCATTAGATGCTGAAAAAGCATTTGAAAAAATTCAACACCCCTTCATGTTAAAAGTCTTAGAAAGATCAGGAATTCAACGCCCATACCTAAACATAGTAAAAGCAATATACAACAAACCAGTAGCCAACACCAAACTAAATGGAGAGAGACTTGAAGCCATCTCACTAAAATCAGGGACTAGACAAGGCTGTCCACTCTCTCCTAACCTATTTAATATAGTACTCGACATCCTAGACAGAGCATTTATACAACAGAAGGAGGTCAAAGGGATACAAATAGGAAAGGAAGACGTCAAAATATCACTATTTGCAGATGATATGATACTATACTTAAGTGACCCCAAAAATTCTACCAGAGAACTCCTAGACCTGATAAACAACTTCAACAAAGTGGCTGGATATAAAATTAACTCAAACAAATCAGTAGTCTTCCTCTACTCAAAGAATAAGCTAGCTGAGAA